TGATGGGTCTCGTGGTGCATGCTGTCCCGCTAAGCTCACTGACATCACTAGTTGCTAGGAGCTGGGAGGAATGCCTACCAGAGCGTCTCGCTAAGCTCCGGGGCAACCAGTGACATCAGTGAGCTGGGCAGGACACTGGCCAGAGCGTCACAGGTTGCTAAGAGCAATTAGCAACCTGGGACTCTCTGGCTGGAAAAGGGGCGGCAGGTTGCACGTGACCTAATGAGATGCTACCTGCGTCATTATAGAGACGGCTCTGTCTGTACTGTAATAATATATAGGTGGCCATTGTTGACCTCTCCTTCAGAAAATGCTGGTTGCCTGGATATCCAGTTGATCCCTTCACTATAACTACAAAGCTACTATTTTCCATCAACCTTTCAGTCAAACTTTTAAAAAAGATTTCAAAATACAGACTGCATAACACATTCAAATGTGTTTGTCCTCGGGGACTAAAATGTAATATTAAAGATCAAAATATAATAAAACCATCATGTTAGTAATTTGTGTATCTGTCCTCATAGTTGAAGACTTTTTCATCTTCCTGGGAAATTATATGTATGGTTGTGTTTACTTTGAAGTTGCTTTGAAGCATATAATTAGACGAACATTCCTACAGAGATAGGGGTTAGTCTTGACAGAATTCTGAAACTGACATTGCAAACATAATATTCTACATAGGGGCCACTGAATTGAATTCTGATGGAATCCCTGGAATGTACACCTCAGAACCAGACCCAACTCTGCCGCCAAGTAAGTATAAATGTTTCCAAAAGTCCGCTGATTGGTTGAATTAACCACAATTAACTGTTTATTTCTTTGAATTTACATTCAGTTTACAGCTGGTAAAATGAATGGCATCATAGATAATCTCCTGAGTTTACAACATGCTCTGCCTTAGATAAGATATCACAAAATGTTCTGTATCAAAGTAGACCTTTACCCATACCTTTACCCATATCTTTAAAATAACAACAAACACACCTTTAGAAATGTTTAGCAATGACAATCTAAAAACACATACTTCTAGATCATTGCCGGCTTTATATTCTTTGTATACCTTATTTCTCTTTTCTTCCCCAGTCTTCTGACAGTGGCCATGTTTACTAAGGGCAGATTACCAGCTCTCCTATTACTTCCTGAAAATCTGGCAAGTGACGAGGACATGTGACCATGCACATCATCTCAGGGGAGGGAAATGCCTTTCAATGAGATGAGATTTCCCAGCAGTGCTCTGCTGATGACATGGCAATCCCAGTGTGCATTGCGTTGGCAAACTGAAGTCATTTACACATTCAAAGCAGAAGTGAATGCTTAGTATTTCATAATCACAGCATTTTACACCTGACATATCTATGTTATTATTAATCGCCATACAAAGAGGGATGCATTGATAGAATTAAATTTCTGAGTGTAAACTTCCGCTTTAACCCCTTGCCGTCTTGCCGTATTTAATACGGGTGGACGGCAGATCCTTCCCAGCAGGTGGACGTACATGTACGTGATTTTTTTTCTGCTTGCGAGCAGAGTCCCGCATAGAAGGTAAACAGCTAAACAGCCGTTACGGGCCGTTTCATACAAGCGTTTGGCCGACTCTAAAGCCGCCTGATCGCTTGTATAACCCTGCATTGTGACCCCCCCCTCTCCATTGCTGCTGCCGGTTATCCCAGCCACGTTCCCCACCCAGCAGTGTACACAGATGGGGAAGATACTTGTGTGATGTCATTACCTGCCCGCCCACTCCAGGAAAGACCCACCCCCGAATAAAAGGAAGAGAAGCATGTATATCCATGGTCCTTTAACTGGCCACAGCCACCTCCCAGCAGTGTACACAGATGGGGAAGATAATTGAATGATGACATTAACTACCCGCACACTCCAGGAAAGACCCACCGCCTACTAACAGGAAGAGAGGGCTCCCTCCAGCCCCTTGATCCAGCGCAGACTCCTCAGGTCCTGCGGTGACTGTCCAACGTGCACGTTTACGGCTGCGTGCATTCACATCAACTGTGTCTCTCCTCTTCTCCCCGCCGAAGATCTCTACTGTGCATATGACCGCCCCATCATCCTGCACGGCTGCTCAGGAAGCTTCAGATGGTAGCGAGTGGCGGAGACACAAGTAAGTATTTACCTATTCGGTTGGTTGTTTGTTTTTTGCGTTTTTGCATATACAGTTTCTGTTGCTTGCTAGCAGTAGATACATGTAAAAACAAAAGTGAACATTAATACTACTTTAAAGCAGTGCAACAGATTCCAGGTGTATCAAAACTATAGGTGTGCAGTTTCACAAAAGGGTGAAGAGTTTGGAGAAGGGAACAATCTAGGACAACATCGCTGAACTGGAAAGTGAGCTGAATTTTAGAATTTTTTCAAATCAGTTATGTTGTCCTAGATTGTTCACTTCTCCTGCCTTCTCCAAACTCTTCACCCTTTTGTGACTAACCCTGTTAGAGTTCCTTTTCTTAATTAATCAGCCATAGCCGGGGTAGAAAACTCTGTCCTCTTCCAGCATGTTGCAGAGAAAGACCCTTGCTATCTATAAGGAAAGAGGGGTCTCTCTGCAGAGGTCCACCACGCCTGCTGCTGAGCCATAGCTAATTATTTCCAACCAACGGTGTGAACTTTGCAGATTGCAGAGCTAAATGTCTGAATCAGCAGGGTGCGTGTTTGACCTCTGCAGAGAGGCCACTGCTTCAACGCAGAGAGCAAGTGTCCTTCTGTACAGCATGCTGGCAGGGGACAGGCTGTTCTACTCAGGTTGTGGCTGCTTTCTAAAGAAAATTAGATGGAATCCTTTGCACACCTGGAATGTATTCTGTTTGATTGGGTTGGAAGTTCACTCAGCCCGGCTGAAGACACACTTAAGCTAGCCACAGACCTTACAACCATCGCAAGACGTTTGTCTTGCGATGGTTGTAAGGTAATAAAAAAAACGTACAAACTGCCTATCTTGGACAGGCAGATCGTACTTGCGATAATCGCAACCCCGCCCTGCTGAGGGGCGGGCTTCCAATGACCGCAATGCTGAACGGGCAGTGTGCGATTGCGCACACCGGCCCGTGCGGCATTTATCTTACGAACATGCCACACACCCGCCGACAATCGTACGTTTTTCGGCGGGTTTTTGAACATGTTCCTAAGATAAAAGTTGTGCGACCTTACAGTAAAAACGGTCGCACGCCTTCCACACACCTTGCGATAATCGTACGATCGTGGGATTTCCCGCGACTATCGTACGATTATCGCAAGGTGTGTGAGCACCTTTACCCTGGTACACGATTCTGCTGCCTGGAAATATACACAACTGCTGCTAGGAACCTAAACTATATCCTGTTGCAAGGTTTACCCTTCTGCAGAGAAGCATGAAGCGCTCAGTGTGATATTGTGGAAAGGAAAGATCCTGTAGTGAGACAAGATGCCGGAACATGGAAGTAAACAGGAATAACATACACTATACAATCTGATTGTGCAATGTCTGTACAATCTTCCTCAGATTTACCAAAATGATGTGACATGAGGACAAAAGTAAGTAATTCATTTAATTAGTATCAAGTCAGTCAGATTTATCAAAAATGTAATATAAGTATACTTTTAAGCAATCCATGCAAATCATATCAAATCAGACAGGCCCTTGTACTACAGAGTTGATGGTAGATTTTAAAGAGATTGTACAATCAGATTGTATAGTGCATGGCCAGCTTTTCTGAGTTCAGTACATGCAATGTTTGGTGCAGGAAGCACGGAGTGCTTGTATGTATTACCTTATCTTTAACACCTAGTTGTACAGTACTTCGTGGGGTGTTCCGGAAAGAATATGTAAGTGGGATCTTCTCCACCAGATCTCCGAATTCAGCAATCTTGTAGCAGCCTGGCAATAGAAGATCTCCAGACCCGGGCAGGTTCAGGGGCTTTGTACGTCCTGCCCCTTTAAAGCTGTAAGATTGCTGCACAGGGTTAAGCTTTGCGTCTTGTAGGAAGTCGCGAAGGTCATAAGCGCCGGGATGGGGGGTTTCCTTATAACACAAACAATACATTATTATAAGATGTGCGAATGCATGGAGAAAAACGAAAAATGTCACATGTTTGTCTTCAGCTAAATATTTGTTTTGGATAGTGAATGGAAAACTATATTGTCTGTCTCCTCACTGGGGAGATTCACCCATCGATAAGTACTGGTGACTATTGTCAGCAGTACAGAAACTGATGGGTTATCCATGATTTCACAGTTGTCACCAGAACAAGAGGTGAGGGGAAATCTTCCAATGGCGACACGGCTTTGGTGGCAACTGTCTACGATAAAAATTCCCTTCTATTTTTAGAGATTTCCTTCCCATTTCTGTTGCATCTATAAGACAGGAAGTGACGGTAACTCGACCCAACAGAACACAGAGAGAACAAAATAAAATGACACCAGTTTTAGGGTACTCTCACACGTTCGTTGAGAATTTAATTAAAGAGCAATCCCGATTAAAACGCCTATAGTGTTAACAAGGTATTTGGCCGGCATATTTCAAGGCATTAGTGAGGTGTCAAAAACGCTTGCAAAGTGCCCTGCAAGTAGGGGAGTGTGTTGTAGGGTACAGTGATGCAGTAAAGGGAAGTGACCAGCAGGAGTTGCAGTAGCTGGTCATACAGTTGTGGGTGTTGCTCAGCTGCTTGAATTAGCCGCAGCATTTATTTCAGAAATGACTGGATCTGGCTAGTACTTGCAATGCCTGGCAATGGTATGGCTGACACTGCTAAGCTGCCACTGGTTTGGCTGGCACTGATTTGAATGACACTGATAACAGCTGGCTCTATATGGTGGCATAGGTCAGGCTATCAAAGTTTGCAAGTACCTAGCCAGAAGCTGTCCTCTTGCTGGTAAAACGTTGGCTGTGTGCAGACAGGAAGTGGCATCTGCTCTACTCACTCTATGATTCCCCAGTGTTTTTTGGGATTGCAAAACATCCTATGCCTCTCCTAAAATACAACACTGTGCAACACTTCTTAAATGCCTGAAAAATGCTATAGGAACATTGGCTGAGCATTTGAGGGGCGTTTCAGTATACTTCAATGGAGGCATTTGTCCAGCGGCAATACCTCCACAACACAACATTTACTCTATTTTTTAACATACAGCAACACAATACAACACTAAGGCCCATGTGTGAACAGCACTGGGCGGTTGCTATTGCTTTATCCTACATGGGCATTAATAGTTGGCAGAAAGGCATTAAAAACGCTTCTCTAATGCCTGGTTTTAACACACATGTAAAAGAAGCCTTAAAGACTATCTCCGAGAAAAAAATATTTCCCCTTGCAGTGGGACCACACTCCAAGGGTTAACTGCTTGCTAATGTTTAGGGGAGCTGTGTGAAGAACTTTTATTTACATGCTCCCGCTGGCCCCAAAACTGGTGCCCTCAGCCTCTTCCCCCCTTCGCTTCAAAGGTCAGAGGCACGCTGACCAGGGTCGTCCCTACCCTATTTGCCACCTGAGGTTGTAGAATGGGGGGGAAGGGGGGGTTGGTGGTTGCTGCTGACAGTGCTTTGGGGGGTAAGGGGCTCGGTGGGCAGCGGATGCGGTGGGATGGGCAGCTGTGTTAGACGCTGAGCATAACTTTGTGCAGATATTTCTATATCTGCCTAAACTTCAACTTGAAATATTTTCCAGAGGGAAAGCTGGATACTTCACGAGTATGTACAAATGTTAGCCCTATGGCAACTGGATAGGTAATGCATTTGGGTTTGGGCTTTAAGAGTGCATGGGTATAATTCCATACATGCATGTACACACACGAATGTACACACATGTACACATATGTGCCCGTATAACCTTACCTTAAGTGAGTATAGCCACCATGCGTCTCGTTCCGAAAAGTCCTTTTTCTTCTGTCTTTCCTGATCCCTTTCCTGTAGACAAGGACACAAAAAAGGGCTCAAATAGAACCAACCACATCGAAATCAAAATCCATTTGTACACTGCAGCCGTTTTGTATTCTACAATGGTCATTCAGTAAGACGTCAGATATTTTTCTAAATAAAGCTTTAACTGGGATGAATTTTTAATGGGTGACTACCTAAAACCATTGTCTTCAGGCAGCCATTAGCTCTGTGCAGTCAGCTCATTTCAGTAATGCTGACGTTCAGTTCCCAACAATCACACCCAGACCTGCGAACAGCTCGAAACACCTAACAACTGAAACAAATATACATTGGGACAGGATCCAGTCATGTCTTCTCCTTGTAGATGACAAGCAACTGTACTATATATCAAATCATAATTCCACTAGCATGGGGGAAGTCAGATCTAGGTAGAATATTTCATCTGGAACTGGGCAATAACATGCATACCTAAAAGTAGAGATATCACTGGGGTAAATTGTGTTTATTGCCAATCTGGTGCCCAGTAAAGGTGGTTTACCCACATATCCGAAGTAATTAGTCACATACAACTGGACTAGTATATGCATGAGCATAATGTTGAAAATGTTTAGCTTCATATCCAAGAATCTTCTTCACTTATACCAAGTGCCAGGAACATACTCCAGAATTTATAGCTACACAGGTCACATTCACCCAGTCACATTGGATGCGTTAAGGCAGACGCTGATTGTCCGAGAACATGATGGTGTGAATGATTGGTAATCCTCCCCACCTCCCAATCTACATAATTCAATCCTATGATGTCATCAACTCTGGGACTGGTGCTATGTTTGAATTGCATGTTTTAAACAATCAGTTTAAATTACGGTGACTTCTCAGGTGCCACATTAATAGAATTACTCAAATATTTAAAAGGATATTTTTTATTGTATCACGATATGAAGATGTAATTTCTCCCAATGACATTTACAAACAGATAAAAACAATAACTAAATCACAGAAACAGTAACCTACGCTGTACAATGTGAAAGTTAATCACAGGATAACAATACATCAGTGTCATTAACTACTGCTTAGTGTTCTCCTCCCTTCAATCACTTAATTATCATATAAGATACCAGTATATGGCATAGTATTATGCACAAAACTCCTTTTCCTCATGTTACACTACTACAATGTCTGCTTCCTCAGGGAGTGCAGTAGATGTATATCAAAAGGAAACATAAATGAAAAGTCACATTACAGATTTTTAGTCTTAGCTCATTCTATTGGGTCATGGAGCTCACTGCTCCTCCATATATATGGGTCTCTCTGTGATTGTAAGATCTCGAGGCTTTGAAAATGTATATCACTACATTCAGAGGAAGGAATGTACAACTTAAGCTCTCCATAAGGATGTGGCATGAACCTGACTCCCCCCCCCCCCCCCCAGTCATATAGCAGGTGCTCCCCAACAGATTCTCCTCAGGATCCAGGATGAGTTACATGACTGAAGGTGAGAATTGTTCTTAAAAATACATGGATGGCCTAATCAATGTGCTAATGCTCCATTGCTGTACAACTACATTACTCTATAACTGCACTGGTCAGGTCAGGGTCTTGGCTATGCTGCATGGCTAGGTGTCTGGATGAGAAATTAAACCAGATTACAAATCCTTTGGCAGGTAACACAGTGCACATGTACCGTGTTTCCCCGAAAATAAGACACTGTCTTATATTTTTCTTGCCCCCAAAAAAACACACTAGGTCTTATTTTCAGGGGATGTCTTATTTTTTTTTTTTTAATGTGCAACAAAATGTACAACAATCCAAAGTTATGTTCAAAGTAAGTAACCGGCGCTATAGAGGAAGTATCGGCTAATGCGACTCTGCTCCCGCCGCCGCAGCCTTGCTTTCTACAGCACCGGCCTCCTTTGCCATCAGGGACAGCGCTACCAGCGGTGCAGCAGAGGGGACATCAGACAGTGGACAGCGCGGTAAAGTACGGTACCATTTACCGGTACACATTACAGTACCGTTACCTTAAGCAGTGCCTTCAGGGGGACAGCAGTTGGTGAAGTATGGTACTGGAGAGCTCCCTGTCACTGCGCTTGTCGGAGGGAGTCCCCTGTCATCCCCTTAATACAGTATGTCCCTGCAGGCTGATACCATCTCTCCTGCTCTTCAAGTTCCCCCTCACATGCTACCACCAAACTAGGTCTTATTTTCGGGGTAGGTCTTATATTACAGGAATCTTGAAAAATAGTGCTAGGTCTTACTTTCGGGGTAGGTCTTATTTTCGGGGAAACAATGTATGTATATGAATCATGTGCATATAGGTGATTATGTGAAGTTTTGAGCTGCTGCAGCATCTACCCCTAAAATGACTTAATATATATAATTCACCAAACAGACTTAAACATCCTACTAAATATGGAAACATTGTAGCAGAATTTAGAGAATGAAACTTATTTTATCACATAAGGTCACAGTTTTGGGACGGATGAACTCTTTCCAATCCACACTAATGCCCTAGAAAAGCTTTATCAATAGTTTCAATGAGAGGTTTTGTGTATTCCAATAAATTGTGCCCAAATACTCCCGTCTGGTAAATATGGTTGATGTCAGATCCTAGTTAATACAAATTCTTATATAGTATATTATGAAATGGTGAAATTGCTCTTACAGTTCTTTGCCTTAAACATTGCCATTTAGGGTTATTCATTTTATCAATACAGGGAGTTCTTAGTATGTAAACCCGAAAAGTGTGCGTAAACTTGAAAATAAAAAGTGAAATTCTGTTACGGTTTGGATTTGCTGCAGGTGTACCTGGTGACCTGGCCAATAAGTGAATGTGAATGACCCTACTGCTGTAGGGTGACCATGCTCACTCAGTGAGACTCTATGTAGGACAGTGTTGTCACCCTGTGCTGAGATGTGCCCACACCTCTTTAGCTGTAGGAGAAGTGCCCACTACTAGTAAGAGTGACAATGGCTTCTACTCCTGGATTGGGTGCTTTATCACAGGAATTGAGGTGCCCTCGCAGCCCAGATCCAGGAGCACAAAGAGGGACTGAGCTGCAGAGACGAGGGTTGTTTTGGAGTTTTCAGCCTACAAAAAATGAACATTTAATAAAAAAACAATTCTAGCAGCCCCCTTCTTCACACCAGCACACCTCTCCCTCTGTTTAGGTTGAAAGGTTTATTTGTACTTCACTTTACACCATGCTTGTGTTTCAGTAAGAGCACATGGAATTCAAATTTCACATTATAATATGCACATTCCATGTGGTAGTTTTGACACTGTTAACATCCTATAATGTAATTGATGTAATATAATTGTAATGTAATATAATGTATGTAATGTATATGTAATTGATGGGAACTGGCATCTACTACATACAGTATCATCAATACATCAACGTATAATTAAAACTACAATTACACCAGCTAAGGAGTAAATTACAGGTACACCCCAGCACAGGCTGCCGAGTAAATGTAATCCTTTTAATGTCCTCCAGCATTGGAGACATGTAAGTATGTACTGTACTGTCTTGTATACTGTGCTGTACAATGAAGGAGATAGTGGGGAGCAAGTTATGCCTTGTACAGTATTTGGGGCTCATTCACACCATAAGGTGCATAATAACACACGTCATGACCCACTTGCAATGCACGTTACCACAATGCACAGTAACACAGTAGATGTACAGTGCAATGCCATATTAACTGCACTCTAAAGCATATCTTCAGTGCACTGTAATGTACCTGCAATATGCTCTGTGTGTTGCACTGCCCTGCATTAAAATAATGCAGGATCTATTTTTTCATGCATTGAGGTATTGAGGTGCACTGGTAGCCCATTCATTTTGCATGAGCTGCTAACGCATTTTGCCTTATCACACGACATTGCGTTATGATGTGAATAAGCCTTTATTGTAGGCTATGCATAGTGAGGGGCTCCAGCATACAAATTTTGTTGTTTTCTCAGATCTTTATAGGTTCTTGTCTGGTTCCTGAGGCCCAGAGATTGTTTTTTTTTTTTTTTTTGTGGGATAAAGCCTCCATTCCTAGGTCCACATCTTACCTGGTAGCCAGACCTCATTATTGGTCTCAGCTGTCCACAGAACTTTCTATATGTGAGCTAACTGAGGATTAGGGATCTCACTCTCTCTCTTGCTTTCTCTGTACTGGGAGCCTGCTGCTGGGTGAAAAGGCTGAGTGCTCACAAAACACTAAAAAGGTACCAGAGCTGCCTGTTTGTTTTGGGGAACCCATTAGGGGCCACTCTGTTAGTTAGGAAGGGACCTGGGTTTAGTGACTTAGAAGAGCAGATGTTTTGTTTGCTATGTTAGGGACTAGTTGATGACTTGGGAGAGTAGATGTTTTGTTTGCTATGTTAGGGACTAGTTGATGACTTGGGAGAGTAGATGTTTTGTTTACTATGTAAGGCTGGGTTCACACCTGGGCGTTACTATAGTCGCGTTTTTTCAACTCGTTTTTAGCAAATTTTTTAGCTCAGTGAAACGCGCGTTCAACACTTGTTTTTATACATCCCTGGCGGTATGATTTTTTTTTTCCTTTATTTTCTCTATCTTTTTTTCGGGTTTTTTTTTTAACTATCAAACTTCCCGCCGGTTCCGCCCCCCTGCGACGCAGACGCTCGCAAGGGACGTTACCCGGAAGACGGCAGCGGGTATCGTGGACAAGGTAAGTCCTATGCTGTATTCTCGAGTGTGGCTCGGGGTTACCGCTTTGTTAAACCCGAACCACACTCAGGAATACCAATGGATACATGCGGAAATACGCCCCCAAAAGAAGTTCCTGTACTTGTTTGGGCATAGGGCGTTTTTCAGCGCGTTTCCACTCGCTGAAATACGCCTAGGTGGGAACCATGCCCATAGGAAATTATGGGATTTCACTTGCTGAGCGTTTTTCAGCGCTTCAATCAGCACTGAAAAACGCCCACGTGTGAACCCAGCCTTAGGGACTAGCTGATGACTTAGAAGAGCAGATGTTTTGTTTGCTATGTTAGGGACTAGCTGATGACTTAGAAGAGCAGATGTTTTGTTTGCTATGTTAGGGACTAGTTGATGACTTAGAAGAGCAGATGTTTTGTTTGCTATGTTAGGGACTAGCTGATGACTTAGAAGAGCAGATGTTTTGTTTGCTATGTTAGGGACTAGTTGATGACTTGGGAGAGTAGATGTTTTGTTTGCTATATTATGGACTTGCTTTCAAAGCCCTTTTGCATCATGTCTATGTTTGTTTTGTAATGCCTTTCTTAATAAAAGTGCAGGAAAAACCTGCTTGTACTGTTCCTGGGTGTCTCTATCTTGTGCATGATTTACTGCTTCCAATACCAGATAAGCCTGTACCCCTTACATAATGGGTGGATTGCCTAACTTTTATATTCTCATAAAATAATGCCTAGAAACCCCCTGTAATCCGCACTCTTACAACCAATGTTCAAATACAGTACCATGCTAACATATAACTGGATAATGTGTCCAAATTACTGTATTTTTGTATTTAGAGGGCTAATTCGGGCTCTAAGATTAAAAATGGTAGTGTTACTTTTTTCAGCTGGGGCAAAGCGACAGTACCTTCTGGTAGCCCACGCACCAGCAAGGTATACTTACCTATATGGGCTCCCAGTTCTTGGAATGAGGGAGCATGTGACAGTGCTTGGGCCTGAATGTTCACTTGGGTTGGGGGCAATGTCGTCATCCACCCGGGTAAGCTCTGGCACCTTCCAACACCAGGATTGGAGATGGAAAAGAAACATGAATCAGTTATTATACCTTGCTAGGAAGGGGGCTATCAGGAGACACTGTCAGCCTTCCTAGAATAGGTACGAGCCAAGTTTTGGTGACTTGGTGACCAGTTTTGGTGACAAATACATTTGGAGATATTTCCCTTCACTTCCTGTTGCCTATCAAGAATCTGAGAGGAATATCCTTAATGGATCACTGAGAGCAAACCGGTTCCAACCCTTCCCTACTCTAAAACAACAAAAAGTGCTGGCTTTACAAACACTTTAAAGGAAGTGAAGAGAAATCTCCTTAATGGGACACAGAGAGCAAAAGGGTTCTAATCCTTTCCTACTCTATCCAAAACTAAACAAAAAAAACTACCGGCTTTACATACACTTTAAAGGATAAGTGCACGTTAAAACAAAGTGCACTTATCCTTTTGGCACCTTTAAGGTAAACTAGGTGACTTCTATGTGGCCATCTCCTGGCCAGGAGACGAGCTCCATAAATGTCAGGTGCAACACTGTAGGCTGGACCCATTGGAACTCAGTAAGCATGCATCTGTGCAGGGGGAGAGGGTTAGGTCAGCTTAAAGAGGTCAAAGTGCTATGTGCATTTTGTTTTAAGTGCACTTATCCTTTAAGTAGGCGTTGCCCTCAAAAGACTTAATGCTTTATTCCACTAGGTCCGGCCACCTTTATTTGAGCTTGACCTGGCTGTTCTAAACAATATTAGGAAGCACAGAAATCTGGTCCATTTTTTATGTAAATACTAACTTTATATATATAGAACATGAACTGCGCCAATAAGCGAGCTAACAGCTACAAGGCACTGGAGTGTACACCCACTGTGAGTGTGTATATGTGAAAAATGAATCACCAAATGTGCCGAGCTACAACAATGATCAGATACTAACTTAAGCTCATAGATTGTGGCTATATTTCAGATATCACTTTTGGCCAGTGATTGTACCAATTATTTTGACATACAGATTGGCCAGCAATGTTCAGGAGGCAGCAGGCCAAACCACCTTCTTCCTAGGCCAGGGGCGCCCACTATTTTTCATCTGGAGATCTACTTTTCAAATGGCGAGCTCATTGAGATCTACCAACGAAAAAACACCTGCATTCAGGGGCGGGAGTCAATGGCACCGCAGTACTCAACAATTTGTTACCAGTTATACAGTAAGGTGCACACAGAATACAGAAGACGTGTATCCAAACCTCTGTCATTGTCCTTAGTGGTGAGACAAGTTGTTTTACATGCTGGTTTGTGAGTGTGCCATGATGCCTTTCTACTGTTCTACTGTTCAAAGCCCATTTCGTGTGCACCTTACTGTATAACTGGTAACAAATCGTTGAGTGCGTTTGTCGTTTGTTTTGCACATAGTACTATGTGTCAGATGATCGCTCCAGTGTTTGTCCTGCACAGAGGATTGGTACATACTAGTGACATGTACCGATCCTCTGCCGCTCGTCCACGCACAAGGGGGCTCAGCTTCTCCTCTGGATCATTTCCTTCACTTCTTCTCGGATCCCCGCTGGGGAGAGCAGCGGGGATCCAGAGAAGCGGCCGGAGGAGAGGACATGGCGATCTACCAGTGATCGCTTCGCGATCGACCTTGTGGGCACCCCTGTCCTAGGCAAATGTAGTATTTTCATAATAGAGTGTACAGGGTTTGGGGACCTGGTGTTGTAGGTGGTATGCCTTCAGCTCTGGATCTTCTTCTGCCTGTTTACTTTTTTTTAGAGGTAAATGTAAACTGCAAACACTGCTACCGCCAAGGGATCAGCTTGCATCCAGACTGTTTCCTATTCACACCATAGCGTTGCGCTAATGGCATGGTATCTGTGCGTTTAGCACATGCTAACGCACAGCATAATACACCACATGCTAGCTGCGCTGGTGCATTGTGTTGCCATTCACTTTGAATGATACCCCCCGGCCCCAATGCACCTCATGGCAGGCGTGCATTGTGCTGTGCTACAATACATGGTACCACAATAGTATGTGTTGCCACGCAGTTAAAGGAATGCACGCATTACTTTTTCTTTTTACCAAAGGCAACATACACTATTGTGCCTGCCGGGAGGTACCATTCAGAATCAATTGCTACACAGCACACTCAGCATGCTGTGCATTGTACTGTGCAATAGCATGTGCTAAACACGCAGATCCCATGCCTTTAGCTCAATACTATGGTGTGAGTGGGCTCTCATACAAACACACATATATGAGTCCACAAGTTGGAGTACAGTACTGGGAGACCTTATTCAAATTAGCACCTTACAGCAGCAAAAAAAAGCCTTACCCTTACTGCTTTTTCCCCCCACTATGGTGGTTAGTCATAAGGCAGAGCTAGCATGGCCTGTGACACCTGAGAAATATCTTTGCACGTGTTTAAACAAATGTAGAAATAATATTATGTTATACCAAATTAGAAATGGACTTTCCCTTCAACAGAGCAGCATTACCTGATTTTCATCCACAGATAAAGCAATGTCACTATTGTTACCGGTTGTGTCTTGCTGCACAGAAGCAAAACTACTTAATGCTTTTTACTGCTCTGCCATGCACCATACACTAACACATGACACTATCACCACTCAGAGCTGACATTGTCAGTGTGCCCTCATCCTTTATCCCCCATACACTGATCATTATATTGCTTACCTTTTTATTCGGCACATGCTGAATGTTTCTTCCTAATTCCACTGCAGCCATTTCTGTTTCTGCTGGTAACTAAAACAAGGCATATGAATGACACCGTCATGTGACACAACTGGATTGTCAAGACAATGCCCCCACTAGTGTCCTCAGGGTGCTTTTCTTTCACACACACACACACACACACACACAGTATGTAATATACACTTACAGAAGGGCTGTGCTGAGTATTCTCATGAGGTCACGATTGGCAGAAGATCAAAGGTTGAGTTAGAAATCTCTCTGCACTTTAATTTAGATAAATGTTAGGCAGTAAATAGCATTCTACTGCATATTAAAGGGACCAAGCACATTTCCTTTACATTCCATTTTGGAGAAGAGTACTTTAGTTACACTTGTGAGTTCCCAACTCCTGATTCCCAACCGGTGGCCCTGTGGCACTTGTGTGGTCCTCAGACCCCAGCAGTCAGAGGGACTGGATTGCCAGTTTGTAAACAGGCAGTTATGGAAGTTATCTTTATGGCCCCGTCTCTTATAGTCTCCTACAACATGTCCCCAACCACACCTGTAGCACATGCAGTGTTTAAACCTCTCCTGAAGGATGTGTACTGTTTCACAGTCTTCTGTAGCACTGCATATGCTATTATGTGTGGCCCCTTATACCTTGTAAGCTGATCACCACTGCCTCAAACTGCGCAACGGGTTGCAGAACTACAATGCAGGCACCAGAAATGGTCCATACGTCCAGATGCACATACCCTCAGGATCACATTACAGTCTGACAGGTAGAATCTGTTAGATATACCAACAACTGCATCACCCAAACGCTTGTCTGAGTAAGCGCAAATTAAGACCCCGTTCACACTGGGGCGATTTGCCCGCCGGATCTGCCTACATAAACGATCCCATACATTGCTATGGGGACCGCTCACGCAACCGCGCGATCCAAACTGCCCCCTGTCCGAATCACTCCCTGACCCACTTGTGCTGCGCTGATCAGTGCGGTTTCCATACAGCTGTCAATGTTTTTGCGGTTTTGTGCATTTTTTTATTGCGTTTCAGCACTAAAACGCATTTAAGAAACTCCCAAAACAGCCCTTTTAGAGTAAGTGTGGAAACCACGCTGATTTGCCCCGGTGTGAGAATGGGGCCTAAAGGGATACCTCAGGAAGGCCCGCCAATTATGTAGTATGCTTGGTAAAGCTAAGGAGATTGTACAGATTGTGTGGTGAGCTTACATTGCATGCTTCTGCAGGTTCCTGGAATACTGTAACCAGCAAGTTTTTGGGATCCTGGGATGCTGCAATCAGCAAGTTTTTGGGATCCTGGGATGCTGCAATCAGCAAGTTGACACTTTTTGGTAGTGTGAAGTGTCTGCCCCTGCACTTGGCAGTTTTGCAATTGCAAAAAATGGGCCGTCAGTGGTTCCTAGTCCACCCTACAAACTAGACTTGGCACACTCTGCCCAGGGGGGCAGGGGGGGGGGGGGTCACAACATTTGTTTCCTCTTTCCTCCTGCGTTTGGAACCCACATTACTCTTACAAGCCTAATGGCTAAATTAAAGTCTTGCAGGTACACCTGCTGGGTGCTCAGTTCCTATTGATGAAGGTACATTCCTAGAACTACATCTCCCAAGAGCCATTTCTCTACAGTGTGCAGTCTTCAGAGTCAAGGCAGCAACATTGTGTTGTGCATGTTGCGTAGGACAGAGGAGCACAGATAGATGGATTTAAGTCCAGCAATCAGGGCTGATAATGTTGCTTTTCTAACTTTAATGCAGCAGAAGCATGTTGGCCAACTCAGACAGGAAGATAGTAGTTCCAATTCTGGCTGATAAGTTTTTTTTTTCTTCCTTTTAGTACTTGGTTATTAAAATTGCTAAAGTCAACATTTTTCAGCCATTTCAAATGTTCATTAAAACCCATACAATGGATGCAGATCTTTGAAAGTTTTAGTTCGCTGCAGAACCAGCTGGTCCACTGAGCACAGGCCCTGCTATCCTGTTTTAGGATGGCTACTTTCCCCTGCAAGGTCCCATGGAGACAACCTTGTGTTAGTAAGCTGTATGAGTCTCCACAACTACAGCAAGACAAGCCACTCTCCCCTCCAAGCTAGTAGATGAACAGCGTCTGGAGACTGCTCTGTCCCTTGTGATCTAGTACCGACAGGAAGTTCAGGAAAGCCGAGCTTGGAAACTGATTGCTAGGTGCTTGAGCAAAAATGTAAAGAAACTCTGCTAGGCAGTTATTGGTTTGATCTGAGCGTTTAACCAGTTGACATCCAGGGTGTTAAACCCCCTTCCCATCCAGGCCATTTTTCAGTATTCAGCGCTGCGGTACTTTGACATTTATTCCGTCATGCAACGCTGTACTGAAATTAATTTTATACCCTTTTTTGGGGACACAGAGCTTTATTTTGGTATTTAAATCACCACTGGGGGATTTTTTTACTATATTAAGGAAAAAATAGATTTTTTAAAGTTTCCCCTATATTAAATTCTAAAACATTTACCAAATTTTTTGGTAAAATATAAAAGATGGGGTCACGTCGGGTAAAGAGACACCAAACATGTCAAGCCTTAAAATTGCGCATGCACACAAACCTCAAAAAAACTACATTAACCAAAATTGCCCATAGGCGACGCATTAAAAGCTTTTACCGCTCATCAGTTTAGTGTTATCAGTGATCGATGGCCCTAAAATGATTGTTCTCACTGCGATGTTCGCTTCAATATGTAACGTGTAGCGCAATTGTCATTTTCGCGCGCTGGCGCAAGCGACACATATTTACGTTTATATGTGTGTAAACGAAGGGGGGGGAACTTAAAACATTGGGGGGGGTTTACTTTTTTTTATTTGTGTGACTTATTTTTTTTTAACTTTTTTTGTTTGTGACTTATTTATATAGATTTTTTTTTTACACTTGTTATTGCTATTACATAGGTGGATACCATCCCCCTATATAATAGCACAGGTACACTGACAGGTCCTCTTTATGGAGACATTAGGGGTCTCTAGACCCCTAATGTCACCTGGAAACCCCAAAAGAAGCTGATGAAGCACAGATTTGCTTCAGCTTCTCTGGCTATAGCAGCCAGATGACTGACAGGTGAATGCGGAAGTGATGTAATACACATCACTTTCACACTACAGAGGGAGAAAAGCAAGGAGCTGATCTCCCTCCCTCCTTCTCCCGAGCCGGTCCCAGGCCGCAGATGGGCTGGCTGATCCCGGGATTAAAGGTGAGGGGTCAGGAGGGGGGAAGATGGCGGCACTCGTGATTGGGGGGGGGCTCCGAAATTCACGCCGTACAACCGATCAGTGGCTATAGAGCCGCTGATCGGTTGTATGTGAAACAGCAGTTAAAGGCTGTAGTAACGAGCGGGTCTTTCCTGCCCGTGCGCACGGGCAGGAAAAAAATGCTGTCTGCCCATTTTTTTCTTAACGGGTGGACGGCAAGAGGTTAATACTTAAAAAACTTGTAATTTCCAAGAAGTACAGCATTTCCTATTTAGCCAAGACATACAAATATGCTGCAGCAGGCAGGCATCTTAGGCCAGTGGTGGCGAACCTTGGCACTCCAGCTCTTCCAAAACTACAAATCCCAACATGCATCTGCCGCTGGGAGTTATGTCTGAGCCTTGCAATGCCTAATGGGACATGTAGTCGCAAAACAGCTGGAGTGCCAAGGTTCGCCACCACTGTCTTAGGCAATGCCTATGAACCGTAAACAGCAGGTAGTTCTCAGCTGCATTGTATACAGAATTTAATATGCTAAGCAGTCCGTCACTAGTAGTACCAGCAGTTTCTCCAAGCCCCCAGTTTTATCTCCCTAGTAAATCCTTTAGACTTGACCAAAGTAAACCCATGGCATTGAGTGGTGAAAGGGGATCAGCATGTTGCAACATACCAGAAGTGATAATCTCAGGGAGCCCAATGGTGACTGTAGTACAGAAGAGACCCAAGCAACCCTTGGCATGTACTTCTGAAACTCCCTGATGTACAAGACTGACAAAAAAAAATCTGATTACATGGTCTCCTGAAATCTAAACTGTGGACCAAGCAAAATATTGCTAAATACAGGGTGTGCATGCTTACTGAATCTGGTCTCACAGTACTATAGCCTGACCACCACTCTACATGAACCATGTGTAGCAATGAGGTCAGTGCTCCTTCTACAATACTTGGTTTGCAAGGCCATTTGGATTTAGATACTTTGTAGCCATGAAGGACTAGATTAAAATGAAATCATTTGTGTGGCGTGTAGCTTTAAGTTATGCAGTATGTCTATACAGGTGTTGATCCGATAGGTACATGGTTGGACATACATGTTTATTTGCTTGCAAAGAATAGGTGACTGAACTGGGGACTGGTATCCAATGCTTCACACTAACTTATGTTTCAGTATAAGGCTGGGCATGCAGCTGGAAATTACAATACTGTTAAATACAGCAAGCCGAAAAATTGGGGTACGGCTTTTGCCAATTTAAAGATTACAGCATATCCCTTTCTATTTTGAACATTTACACAAACTGTACTACATTGATTTTTGCAGTGAATACAAGTTTCACTTTTTGACAATGAGTAAAATAGTTAAGACATACGTGCTCAAACCTAAAGACTCAAAGAAAAATACATGACTATCATAGCGAGTTTAAAGTTAATTTTGGCAGCTCCGTTAAGCACTTTACAAGGCACATCTGTAGAATGTGTGTACATTTAGTGGCAGACAAATGCCAGGGCTGGAAATTATGTCAATATGGTGACAAGAACAGATCTAAAATATCAAGTGGAGCCATTCTTGTTTACACACAGCAACCATTTTTAATGTTAGAAGCCCCCTATTCTGCATCAAGATCACAACCCTACTAAGATGTCCCATCTGTTAGCCCATGCAATTGTTATCTAGTCAGGTATGACAGCCATGGAGGGACCCCCACTCAGCTCTACCTACTGCCCAGTTTCAGAACCTTTTCCGACTTCTCCCCAGTAGCTCCAGAAAGAGACCAAAGCAATGCCTTTTTTTTTTTTATTGTAAAACAAATATACAACTTGGAATGGATTTGAGGCAAATTGTGCCATAAGCAGGTTTTCTGAAAAGTGGCTAAACAAAAGTAAACCTTTAACTGGTGAAGGAGTTTACAAATCACATGCAGACCCTTCACAACAGTGGAGAGAGAGAGAAATAGAAAAAAGGGAAAAAAGCATAGTGATGTTCCATACACAGGTCTGGAGCAAAGAAATGGGAGGGAAGGCAGAACAAAAAATACGAGACATGTATCTGGATATACCAGCTTTGCATTAGTGCAACATAAGTTCAATATTGTTTAACTATCTGTAGTTTAGAGTTGTTTACTCCACATTCCAACAAGCAGACAAGTTACTTGAAGAAATCCAACTTGGGAGGAACAAAAAGGAGAAAGAAAAAGGAAACTGTAGAGCCCAGATGTTCCTTGTGACCCAATTCATCCAGCTCTTCCATGTGCACAGAGGGCTTTGAGAAAAATCCAGAGTAAGCCACATGCAGCATTTGTTACTTGATCAACTTTTCATGGAAACCAAAAAGAGTAAAATGTAAAAATAAAAGACAGTGACAATATGGGAAACATGTCTGGAATTCTAAAATTACTATACATGCAAATCTGACAGTAAGGGGGAACATTTTACAGATAAGTTACAAACAAAGAAAGGCAAATAAACATCTTTGTACAAGAAATTTAAACACATTCTGTACAGTCTTCACTTTGCTGTCATCATTTGTACAAACTCTGCAAGAGAAACAAAAAACTGTTTTAGTCAATGTGCCAAGACAATTATCCCAAGCAAGACAAGATGAAAGACCCCGTCAACAAGAACAAAATGAGTTTTAGGCCCCTTTCACATGTGTTGGTCAGAAGGGGACCCTGACTGGAGCGTTACAGAGCCAATGTAACCATTGTGACATCCGTGTTGGTCTAGTATTCTCCATCTTGAGATGCAGAAAATAAAACTGAAATGACTGGACCCCATGCCTGTCTATGGGGAATAGGATGTAAATGGACATGTGTGTTTACATCAGATTACCCCAGATCCAGCACAATCAGGTCCATCAAAACTGAACATTGCTCCATTAGTTTTTTTTTTTTTTAAAGGCCCTGTCTGGATTCAGGGGTAGCAGAGTGAAAATAGACTCGTCTGCTTAGGCATCAGATTGGGTCCGGGTGAAAAACTGACAGGCAGATCTGTTAAGTATAGTAATTTGGCACCCATTGTTAGAAATCAATCTGAAATCCTAAAGTGTGTGAATGGCAAGCTTTTGATTAGCAATTAAACCAATTGATTGATTCTCAGGAAAGGTTTAATTTCAAACTATACGCACTTGTGCCCTAGTAAAAAGGCAAAGGCAATACGGGTGCAGAAGTCTGGTCTTCATGCCGAGCTGCAAAAACTCATTTATGTGTGGAGTATTCTTTTACTGAGCAACCTCCATACAATTGAATGCAGAGATAATACTGCCAGACATTGTGGGACACAACAGCTTGGGGTATTGCCCAAAAACCAAAGTCTACAATTACACAGATAGCTTAGGAGAAAATCTTGCCATTTGAAGCAACTGAAGTATTGCACCCTTACAGGATTCGCAGTACTAACTTTGGAGAACTTTCCTTATGAAAACGAAATACACTTGATATTTATATCATGAAGGTTTGATGATTTTTGGTCATTTCACTAGAAAACCCATTAAGCCAACTAGGTCTTTCTACTTTGATTACAAATTTGTAGTTGGGAACTCCAGTGTGCCAGGCTAATCTTGTGGGTTTTTTTTTATAAGAGTAGTTGTCAAATGTAGCTGAAGGGTTAAAGCCTGTGAAAGGAGACAAGTCAGTGGCAGCAAGGACATGTGAACTTTTATTGCTGTAGCCATAGCAGCCATGTATACCTTGTACAACAGCCCATATGAACATGTATATGATGCATGTGTACATACAATATGTCTTGGGTTATTATATGTTAATCAAGTCAATGACCTGTTGAGATCTTAAAGTGTATGGACAATTTTGGCATTTTAGTTTGATGCAGGCACTTGCAGTTTTGACTCTTGACACATTTGTCATCTTTACATGACTCTGGCTCATCTTATATTTTGCAGATAATTGAGCAAGCTTGAATCGCGGCTAAATCCGCTCCAAAAAGTGTCCTGCTGTAGCGACACGATCCGCGACAGCAGGACCCTTTGCCCCATTGAAATGCATTGGAGCGCGATATTGTGCGGTAATTTGCCGCGATATCGCGGGAATTACCGCGCGATAAATCGCTCAATGTGAACGGGGCTTTAAAAAAGCAAAGCTTTACTTTTACAAGGCAGTTAGATGCAGAAAATGTTCCCTCACTTGTACATTGCTTCAGTGAGTCTGTATAAATCTCTAGGCAGGGTCAGTCAGAACTACTTTATTCACCTGCATTATAACAAACTCCTAAAAAAACCACAAAAAAAACAGGTTTGCTTTAGGGACTGGAATCCAATTTAAAGTAACTGAAGTTAGATTTCATACATGGCTCCATTGACCTCTACAGCCGCAGGCAATGTGGAGCAACTCATCAGCAGCAAACAAAGTTTATCAGCAGCTAGAGCTCTGCCTGCCCCCCTCAGCAGCCTTCCAAAGAAATGGAAAAAGTTATATGGGTGTAGGGAGCCGAGGACCTGTCAACCTGAGAAGGGATTGTCCATGGTCAGTGAAGGCTTGTTTATAAAAATTCTCCAGTGCCCAGACTATGGGCATTGCAGCACTGACATTCCCAAAATGCAATGCCTATGTAGATGCAAACACTGAAGCGAATAACCCTTCAAAAAAACAGCAAAAGATATGAAATGTTCTGCATTCTCCTCAACATCTTAGCTTAATCTACAACAACTCCTGGTTGCAATAGAAAGTGCCCCGCAGTTATTGCTGGAAGAAGCAGAGAGTCAAGTAGCAGACTCCCTGCTGAGGGGGGGGAGACAGATCTGGCCAAGACAATTTGAACTTTTCAGGAGGATTTGCTTCACAGCACATACTTCTGCTGTAAGGGTCAGAGGCCACAGCACTGGAATAGAGGGAAGGCAATGAGACTGACTGCCAGAGTATAACAGCTATTCCAGGACAGGGAAGAGCTTTTCTCTTTCTAGAAACCAATCAGGGATGATTTCAGATTATGTAGATTAGCCACAGTTTTGCATTAAAGATAATTTGCCTTGTCTTATGTATAATCAGGTCAGCACTTGCTACAGGCAGAAGTGGGTATTCTGGTGCTGCAGTACAGAATCAAATCTGTTTCTGCATTAAAAAAAAAAAAAAACGAGTGCCAACTTACAAAAAAAGATCACTTAAAATTCCACAATTTCAAAAGGAAATGTTCCCTCCTGAACTCAGGCCAAGGTATAGTTACTCCTTCACAAGTCAGACACAGTTTGTGCGCAGAACAAGCACACCAAATTAGAAGAAATGAAGGAAGTGTAGGCGTCTGACCACAGCAAGTGTTTGTATTCACGTTTTATAGTGCTGTAATAACCAATGGGCTCTGACGGGATGCTAAGCAACCCAAATCCCACACAAGTCCAACAGAACCAAGTTGACTAATGCACATAGCTGGAGAGACACTAAAATATATCTCCCAATACATTTGTAACCAAAGCCTGTTTGTAATTTGAATTCCTTGTCCCTTTTTAAACACAAAGAAACTTACCTTCGTAATTTACTTGACCATCTCCATCAATATCTGCTTCCCTGATCATTTCATCAACCTCTTCATCTGTTAACTTCTCACCAAGATTTGTCATAACATGACGGAGCTCAGCAGCACTAATGTAGCCATTACCGTCCTAGAATGGAGAGAAAGTTTAGACTGCAGAGGACTACACAAACTGAATTACAGAGACAAATCTATGCCTTGTGTACTAGAGCACCCATAAAAACATTTTGTAGGTCATATCTTAAGCAGATTCTAGGCAAGTGCATTGGGAAAATAAAGGTTATGGTCAAATATTTGTTCCCTCAGACAAAGAGCCCACTGCAGGAAACTATTCTGAAGTGTTTAATCATCCACACACTCTCAATTTAGGTGAAACAAGCACTATGACTGCAGATCATAATGACCACAGCAGTTGCACATAATCCACAAGGGGGATGAAGCTCTGCACTAGTCAGTGGCACTATGACAGGCAGACTCTATGGTGTAATTATCTCACATGCAAATAAATATTCTAGATAAACTCCTGAATCCTACAAGGAGAGAGTTTAAATAATGCAAATAAGAAACTGAGATCATAAGGTTTCATAAGGGGGGGGGGAGAATCTTCAATGGTCAGAAGGTTCTATTCTGTGCTGTCTCAATCATATTTCAGTTACCACAGCCTCAACTAATGCCTGACCACTTCTTACTAAAGAGCAGGAATAAAACTCTGGCTATCAAAACAGCAGGCAAGAAATAAAAGGACCCCTATCTTCCTGGTATACAAGGGTGGCTAGGCACTTGTGACTACAACCTCATGCTGTATATCTGTAGTGTCAATTACATTTTAGGCAGTCTGGACCCATTGCTTGTCTCAGTAAATTGAGCTCTAATGTTGCCACTGGCCTGCTCACTGTTCTACTTGCTGGAGGCTGACATTAGGAAGCAATAGCCTGCCTCTACCAAGCTGGCCACCACCATACAGAACCACGGTTCAGAACACAGCATGGCAATAGGAAAGGGTTGGCTGCAAGGAGACTGAATACTGGTGTCCAGCCTTTTGAATCCCCTTTCAGCACAGCTTCCAGACTTCAGTACTGCTAAAGTTATCGGAGTTAACCTTCTCTAAAGGCCCCAAAAACACGTAAAGCATGTGTCCCAACACAATGAAGTAAATCTATTTTATGCAGGGATATGTAGCAACTCTATAAATACACTAGAATGGAAGCTAGAATTGTATGCAGCATTCCTTCCATTCCTTGGATTGTTATTCAAGATTGGAGATGTGCTCCTGAGCTGTTCTGGCACCCACTAGTTGGATGTTGGTTGAGTAACATTGTATTAATCAGCATCCCTTATACTGGACAGCTTGATCTTCATGTATACGCAGATCTTAACACTGAAATCACCACATGCATTAGTCATGAAAATACACAATGGCTCACAATCCCTGGGGTAATAAATGATTGAAAGGTACCCTGCACAGCATGGCAGAATGTAGGGAAGGTGGTCTGGCTTTAAGACCTACATTCCATTTTGCAGTGCTTTAGCTGTAATGTTTAGGCATGTGTATGAACTGCTACTGTTCAAGACAAAAACAGACCATCTGTCAGGCCCTCATTCTAAAAAGCAGATGATACCTTGCCTGCGCTGAATTTAATTGCTCAGCTAAAGTTCTACATCTCACAATGTCCTAGATCACATGGGCTCCAGGTAGTATATGCAGTGTGAACAGCAAATTGGCAAGCTTTTGCAAGGCATTTGTGACGCCTTCTTGAAGCCGTTAAAGAAACCTTCAGCTCCAGTTTTGGGAATGGCAAATACAGATCTTAAATGGAAGTGCTGACCCACCTTAAACAAGCTAGCAGGCTTTAATCAAGCTTCAAGTTGTGCTAAAGCTTATAGAAGCCTGCTAGCAGCTCGGTTCAAGTGAGTCACACCTGCTATTAAAATTTGTGTTTAATATTACCAAAGTGGAGCTAAATGGGGCTTTGAAAACATAAGCAGATATTCCCTAATGCTCTGCAAGAAAAAAAAAAACCAATAAAAGCTTGATGCCCAAAATCTTTTCCAGCTTGCTGAGGCTTGAGAGGTAAACAGGAGTTACTCTTCATAACAAGCAGCCCAATTGTATACAGATTTTTTTATATACATGGCAGTTTCTAGCTTAGATAAAGTGTTCAATGGGTACTGACAAAGAAACCCCAAACAAAATAGTAGGTTACCTTGTCAAACACACGGAATGCTTCTCTAATTTCTTCTTCACTGTCTGTGTCTTTAATTTTTCTAGCCATCATAGTCAAGAATTCAGGGAAGTCAATTGTTCCATTACCTGTAAAGAGACAAGACTTAAGCCTCAGTTCAAACAAGCACCAGAAGTCAAGAGTACATTGAGAACTAATCCAAGTCAAGATACACCGATTCTGTGAAATCTGAACTGGATTTGCATCTTCTAGATTTATAGTTCAACATACTAGTGTTTTATGAAGGCAAAAAAAGGTAACAGATTGCGCCCCTATTGCCAAGCCAAAGCTTCATTAGATTTGCCCATTAGAAGACACTTACCATCTGCATCTACTTCATTGATCATATCTTGCAGCTCTGCCTCTGTAGGGTTCTGGCCAAGCGACCTCATCACTGTACCCAGCTCCTTTGTTGTAATTGTGCCATCACCATCCTTATCAAATAGTGAGAAGGCTTCTTTGAATTCTGGAAACAAAAAAAAAAAAAGCATTTAATTTAGAGTACATATAGTCACCACCTCAAACTACACATTAACACACAAGACATTCTAAATCATAGAACTGCAATCAGTACAAAAAAAAAAAAAAGCAGTGAGCATTACCACACTGCATAGAGCCAGCGAAAACACAAGCCTTGAGAACTATGGGGTAACCTTTTTATCCCATAGTGCTCTTTAAGGTCGCGGGAGGACATTTGCCAACAGCCTCCTATAACCCAAAGCTCAGTGCATAGCAGGCTATTGCTTGCCATTTACGAAGAGCGGCAGCCGGGACGGATCCTGACAATACTGTCAAGATCCACCGAGCAGGCCAACAGTGGGCTCTGCCTACCTAGAGGCACCGCCAGCTGTGCCCACCCCCCAGTCGGCGCTGGAGGATCGGAGAGGGGAATCCCTGCAGGGAGCCGTGACCTGACAGTCACGGCTCTCTGCAGGAAGATGATCTAGAAGTGAGCGAGCGACGGTATGTGTTCACTCACTTCCCAATCTATAGAGCTGACTTATGACAGTTTCATTGTCACACGTCGACTCTAGCTACGGTATGAGGATGTGTAAATCACTCACCTCAGTTCTGCTTTAAGGTGGCCATACACTTTACAACCCTCGCAAGACTTGTCTTGCGAGGGTTGTAAAGTAATTTTTAAAAAAAATGTATGATCTGCCCATCTTGGACAGTCAGATCGTACTTGCGATCATCGCAATCCCACCCCGAGGGGCGGCCTTCCGATTAGCCCAACGGGCAGTGTGCGCACACCGGCCCGTTTGGCATTTGTCTCCTGAGCATCATTCAAACCCGGGCTGGTTTTCTAGCATGCTCCTTAGACAAAAGATGTGCGACCGTACAGTAAGAACGGTTGCACGCCTTCATTCACTGCACAATTCTCGTACGATCGCGGGATTTCCTGTGATTCTCGTATGTGAATCGTGCAGTGTATGGGCACCTTAAAAGGTGAACTTCAAGTGCTAAAAAAGTTAATAATGCTACAGTGCAGGTTTCTTATAGTGCCTGCAAGTACCCATGTTTGTCTTCAAATTAACCTTTGGAGTCCCCCTGAATTTTATGCCCAGAAGGTATATGCACAATCAGCATTAAAGCAGAAGGAAAGGACTACACAACTTAAATGTTGCTACCCTATTACATTCATATTTCTTGCAGACATTTCCTACCATGTGGCCATATAAATACAATTTGTTCTATGCGGTCAAGTGACTGCAAAGCTCCAGCTCTATCCCTTGCCTGATGCTGTTGCAGCTCATGGGCGTGAACTCTGCCGGATGACAATGCTATGGAGAATTAACTGCCTTAAGGGATTGAAGTGCTTCCTGCCGGCAGAGACACATGGACCAGCCAGAGCTTTGTAATCATGTATAGAGGGGAGGAAAGAGGGGGGGGGAAAAAAAAAAACCCCAAAAAAACATTTAGTAAAAAAATGTCTGCAGCTAGGTAAAAGCAATAGGGAAAGCAACATTTACCAGGTCATTTGTGGAGTAGGCTTTCCTACTTTACTATGCCCTGCCCACAAGGATCTATGTGCAGCCCATTTCTAGTGTTTCACAGGTATTGAGAACACCCATTATAAAATCTGCCTTGTGAAGGTTATCATGTATATTTCAGGGACTAGTCAGACAATCTTCATGTGATCAGCTTCAATATGACCTTAAAGTGCCATAAGCTTTAAAAAGTGACAAACTCAGGAGTTAAACCTCAAAAATCCATCCAAGTACCTTAACAAAAATGTATCTTATTTGTGTATCACTCAGCTGTAGATCCTCGAATCTGAATTGGTGCCGACACGGTCCTTCCTTCTGGAAGGTGACTACTTTTTTTCCCCATGGTCCCTGTGTGTTGTAAAGTAGTCACCGCCCCAGAAAGATACTCCGCTGTAGATCCTCAAATCTCAATTCGTGGCGAGTGACACACAGAAGATATGTTACAAGTTAAGGTACTTGAATGACTTCAAGATTTAACGCCTGAGTTCAGTGCAGTTTTGAACGCCTTTCATCAAAACCATTCTGACAAAATATATTTCAAAATTACAAAAGTAGAAAGCACTAAATGAGAAGTTTACAAACATACCTGCGATCTGCTCCTCTGTCAGTTGATCAGCCTGAAAAACAAAAAGCAAACCATCAGAATGTTGTATGGCATGCATCACAAAATACTGCTGTAAAGTGTATGTGTCCCATACTCCATCTAGAAGTCAAGTCTTAGACATCATGTAGATCAGGTAGGCAACCTCAGCACTTCAGTTGTGGTGAAGCTTCAAATCCCATCATGCCTCTGCGAGTCATGCCTGTGGCCATCAGTCTTCCAATGCCTCATGGGATTTGTAGCTTTACCACAGCAGGAGTAGCAAGGTTTCCTATACTTGCTGTAGATGTCAATGATAGCAGGGCAAGAGAAGAATGCCTGCAAACCTCTATAACCGGCATTAGTTTATGTCTGGTAAGCAGCCAAACGCACAAAAACTTATCACAACTATACGAACCCCCAACAGCTCTCAGAACAAGACTTGCAGCACATTATGGCCACCAGTTGAGCAGAGGAGATCCCTACGCTCCTGCTAGTGCCCATAATCCACAGCGAGACTTGTTCAGAGTTGTTGGCTGCGCAGTTTATAAGTCAAACCCATTGTAAAATACTGAATACTCGGTTACATATAGTAAAGCTGAATGTTGGTGTAAACTCTGGATTTCTGATTGAAGATCCTACTACCAGCTCTTCCCCCAATAAATGGGTATCTAAATATGCCTTATGCCAAGCAACTCATCTCCACTGCACAGAATAAAGCTTGGTAGCAATACAACTAAACTCCTAGTACACGGGTCATGAAGGGGCAAAAACACCCCACACTCTACCTCCCTGCAGCCAACAGAAGAAAATACACGTCAGCAGATTTGATTGAGTAATTGCCACATAACTCAACACAAGACATCCAACCAGGTTAACAAAAAGCCATTTAAATTCTAAGGTAATGTGTAACCAGTGAAACAAAACCACATCAAATGCTGAGAGTATTCTGAACCAACTGGCAGAAAACATGCAAAACACAACCCTACTGAGTGGTGCAGCAGCTGCACAGCAATCACTGAGGCTTGTAATATAATGAGCAGATTATATCGGAGATTATCCTACTCGTAGTCAAGGACCATGCTGACCTCTGTACTGGAGCCATCTGAAAAGAAAGCCTCATTTCTCTCAACTCCTCTCTTGCACCAAACTTCAAAAAGTCAGACACCTAGATTTGATCAAAAGCTGCTTGAAACTTTCTTAAAAGACTGTTGTGTCTATGAGGAGCGTGGGGCTTTATGCTGCAATCACAACTTTGTCCGCGTGGATTAGGTCAGTCTACCACCAACTGACCAGCAGTCTCACCATCTGCCATGCCCTCGCCTTGGCAAGAGTAATCTAGAAATATCACCTTAAAATGAACCAGACTAAAGTGCGTCACCTCCTCGCAGTACCTACAGGCATCCTAGTATTCACACCGATCCCTATGGAGTCCCCTGAATCTTAAGGTTATACATTGGCCTTTTCCTTTGCTGAAGTCAAAACTAAAACCCATTCTGGCCAATGATCATTAAGCCAAATGCCATCTGAGGTTCTGGAGTGTAATGACTTTATGGCAACTGGTGCAGAAGTTGGGGCCCAGGTGTCTTGCAATCACCAGTTTACAATACTACAAAAGCTTCACCCAATAAGAGATTTGGATGCAGGAAAACCATGGGTAGCTCAATGAGTGACCAGTCCCTAAAAATTGTATTAAAAACCCTCACCAACAAGACTGCCCTCTTCCTGTTCTGGTGACGATCAAAATTACAAGTAAATGCTCATCGACGGGACACTGACAGCAAGATAAACCTGACAAAGGCTCTAACCCCTTAAAAAGCACTTTATTCACTTTAATTAGCCCATAGTCTAAGGCTGGGTTCACACCTAGGCGTATCGAATATTATTATTATACAGGATTTATATAGAGCCAATAGTTTGTACAGCGCTTTACAATATAAGGAAGACATTACAGTCACAATACAATTTAAGACAAGATGGTAAGGAGGGCCCTGCTAGTGAGGGCTTACAATATAAAAATCATATGCGCGTTTGTCGCGCGATTTGTGGTAAAACCGCACGACAAACGCGCTTTTCCGAGGGCTACTTGGCTGTATCCCAATGGAAACGCGCGACAAAACCGCCCCAAAGAAGCTCCTGTACTACTTTGGGCATAGGGCGTTTTGTAGCGCGTTCATACGGCCTGTAATACGCCCAGGTGTGAACCATACCCATAGGAAATAATGGATTTCGGTGTTTGAGCGTTTGAACGCGCTACAAAACGGCCAGGTGTGAACCAGGCCTTACATGTCAGCAGTGGCAATTTTTCTACAAGACTTTGAGACCCCTGTTCTAGACCATACCAATGTATGCATGCGATTAGCGATTCCTGCAGCAGGAAATCCCTAGTCTGGCATTTACAAGCAGCAGCTGTCACCCAGTCAAGTTAATGATCAGATGACAGCTGCTGCATGCATTTGTATGCGATATGATTACATGTGGTTAGGAATCAATCACTATCCCTGGAGACATCGATTGTGCACCCAGAGTGTTTTCTAACCGCATGTAATCATATCACTACTATTACATGCGGTGTGCAGGCATTTACATGCAGCAGCTGTCACCCGATCATTAACTTGACTGGGGGACAGCTGCAGCTTGTAAACTCCACATTAGGGATTCCTGCTGCAGGAAAATGATTGAGACCCCCTGGTCTAGAACCTATTACAGGCAAGTGCTTGAACTGCCTCATCTCAGACTGCTGCCATTTTCAGAAACTACAGATCTCTCATTTGTGTGAATC